GCAAAGGATATGAGAAATACGAAGGAATAAAAACCAACTACTAGCAGTAATATCCAACTAGCATACTAGAGAGAGTTTAAGTGTGCAGTACATAATTTCAGAGCATAAAAGAAACTAGGTGCAGTCAAGTAGGACAATAATTAAGTTATAACACCCGGTGAGTCCTACATGCAGGAAGTCTGTCAGAACGCCGAAGAAAACCTCGTGAGCCACCAACTACTAACTAGAACCTGGAGGGGCGCAAAAACAAAATTGAGTGGGTCAGTAAAACCAAAGTTTTCCAAAGCATTTCATTTAAAACATTTCTAACCCCTCACTGTAAAACTTGTATACTTTCCCAGAAAATAACATAATAGTATATAAAACCTCATACGTCACAAATCACAAATCTATCACAAATCCAGGAACATGCCATGCCATAAATGTCAATAACAAAACATGGATGCATCAAAATAGTAGGTGACATAATGAATCAACCGGAGACCCTGCAGTTGGTCCTGTACGGTTAATTCCATAGCTCAATATCCAACTCAGCCGGAGTCACCACGGCGACCTGTACGGCACTACTCTGCACATAAGTCGGAACTACCTGAAATAGTCTGTACAACAAGAATGGTGTAATAATATGCTCTAGTGCTTCTCTCATCAATCATATGCGCGCGTAATCTAAAGTCACCTACTAGTCGGAACCACCTCTAGTGGTCTGTACGACTAGCATGTCGGAACCCTCACATGGTCTGTACGACATGCACCTACTTAGATCCAAGGTGAGCGTGCGGTGCGGTGAATAATATAAGCACTAACACCAGGGGTGCAGGTTATGAGCTCTCAACACAATTCACATCATCGAGGATTCACATGATTAACATAAAACTCACCTGATACTCACATGTGCGTCCACAACACCAATTCACATATATATATATATATATATGCATCCATATCAATTCATATAATTCATAATATGCATGCATGGCGTTTTAAAACGTACTTTCATATAAATTCAATTTCTGGGAAAATTAATAGTATATAGGTATATACTGAAAACAAATTGCCCACTCACTGATAAGTCGATGGGTCATAACCCCCGTGACGTCCCTGGATGCGCTCGTCCTCAGGATAGGTGTCACCTATATGCTAAACAACTATAAAAACGTTAATTTCATGCACATAACCAACAATTTGAAATAACTTCTCATACGGTGCTCAATTTGGGTATATGAATATACCACATCGACTTACTCGACGTCACGGACGTCGAGAAATTTTTAGAAATTTTTTTTGAAGCGGCACGCGCCCCTACGCGCCCCTACGCGCCTGGATAGGCACGGGTTCACGCGCCCCCACGCGCGTCTTCTTCCTCTAGCTCGCCGAACTGAGTTTTCCGGTGGCTGGAAAACTGGAGATTTTTCAATCTCCTTATTCTCCGTCGTTTCTCAACTGTTTTCTTCGTATTTTATATCAATTTGAAGCCTTCAACATGTAGAATCACATTGGACTAATTTAAGGCTCTAAAAACAACTAAATCTCACCGGAAAAATTCCAAGAAAAACCGGCCAACTTTGAACTCAGTAATCCTGACGTCCAAAACCTTCAAACTAAGCACTCTGAGCTTCCTTAGGATCTCACTAAGCTCACTATAAGCTCAAAATTCCCTGAAATTCAACAATTCACATGTGCATGAACAATGATTTCAAGATGGGTTTCGGATTTCACGTGATATCAAGGGTTCCAAGTTCTAAAAATTATACCAATGAACTCACAAGCTTGCAAGGATTCACAAACTTACGTTTTTGACGTCGATCCGTGAAGGTTTGAGGGTTTTTGATCTTGATCCGTACAAGTCGAGAGGGAGAGAGAACAGAGGAGAGAAGAGAGAGCACGGGGAAAAAAAGGGAAGGGGTCCAGTGCCTGTAACCCGTGTGTGTGTGTGGTCCCTCAAAAACAGATCACTTCATCCCTAACCACACAAAACATGCATACCAACTTAAATAATTCTCCAAAAGTTTATGGAATATGTGTATTAGTCCAAAAAATATGTCACACACACACACACACCTTAGCACCCGTCAAGGGTAATTCCGTCATTTCACGTCTTCGAGAAATAAAATCTCGGGACGGGCTGTGACAATACCTCATTATAATACTATTAGAAACAGTTACAATAAAAAAATTCAAACATTTTGATTGAATAAATGGATAAAAACTATGTAAAAATAAGAAATAATAAATAATAAATGGCAAAAGAATGTATCCATAGTGTTAAAAAAATTGGTACATTTTACAAAAAATTGGTACATTTCACATATAACAAAGTGGTACAATAATAAAGAAGAATGGGTACATTATAAATAACTTAGGGTACAGATAAAAGAATAAAAAAATATGAGTACAAATGAATTTTTGAAAAATATAGACGCTAAAAGAAATTAATACATGGGTACAAAATAATACTAAAAAGAAAATACTACAAATTTAAAAAAAATGTTTCAAATTAAAAGTGGGTACAAACTAAAAATATAAATATATGATACAAAGTTTAGGCATAAAACATAAATATACCGTATGTAATTTTTCTATCATTGATTAAATATACAATGTCACGTGACAATATACACATAGGTACAAACACAAATAAAACTTTAAAAAATATGGGCACAAAAAGAAACTAATATATGGGTACAAATTAAAAATGAAAAAAAAAATTGGTACAAACTAAAAATAAAAATATATGATAACAAATTTAGCCATAAATATAAATATATTAATTGTAACATTTTTAACACTAAAGGAATATATTTAAAAGTAAAAATATTTTATTATTCAAATAATTAATGATGTTATTGATACCTAAGAACCTTGATAAAAAATTGAAAATGAATAGGATTTTAATCAATAGAATAGTAAAAAGAAGGATGTGAACCTAATTTCTCCAATAATAAATTATGTTTGAATCTATGAGCCTTTGTCGGAGATGATTTTTTGTCAAATGTTTTGACCCTAAGGGTGCGTTTGTTGCACCGGACTAACTCGGATTGAACTAACTCTAGGGACTAAGTTGGATTGGCTTAGACTAGACTAAGCTGGACTGACTTAGTGAAACGTTTGGTGCAGTGTCAGACTAAAAAACTGGACTAGCAATAAATTATTATTATTATTATTATTATTATTATTATATTTTACTTTATTTCCTATTAAAAATATCAACATTAATATGGACAAATGGGGCATCTTCTTCGCAAATTGCTGGTGCTCCTCTGCACACAGAATTTCCATTCACATTATCCAACAATTGTTCAATGATCTGAACTAACTGGTATCCCAGAAAACTCACAAATCCAAGCCTACCTTCACAAACCAAACGCAACCAATTCACAGAATCCATCAAGTATTCTGAAATTTAAAGAACAAAACAAATAAAGTAAAAATAAAATAAAATTAAGGAGATGAAGAACGCAAAGCACCCAACCCAAAACCCAATCAACTTCTGCAAATTGTAATCCTTCGTAAGGAAAATTAAATCCCAGAAAAATCAAATCCTTCAAGCTCACTTGTATATGCAGGACCAAAAATTCGATTTGAAAACCTTAAATTGCCGGACTTCTGTCGAATTGGAAACGGAATAAACTGGGCTTTGTCTACTTGCTTTCAGGTCTGGGTTTTGCGATTCGAATCGGAGTGAATCAAACAACAGCGAGAGCAGGGAGAGAATGAGACGGGTTCTAGGTTCTGAGAGATTCGAAACAAGCAGACGATGCAATTCTTGGTTGGCGAGTGTTGACGATGTTGGCAAAGCGAGCAGACGAAGCGAGCAGAGAGAGGAGATGGAGGATGACGAGGAGAGTGAGAAGACGAAGACGCAGTGAAGGTCTTAGCAATCCCATGGTTATTAGGGGGGTCTCGCTAAGACCTCTTAGTGAAGGGTTTTGTCCATGGGAATCTCCTTTAGTCTCATTAATGTTAAATCCCATCAAGGAACAAACACCCTTTAGGCCTCGTTTGGCAGCTCAGACTGTACTGACTATTTCAGTCGGATAGGATAAATAGTCGTTGGATAGTACTGACTAAATTAGTCGGACGTTTGGTGCTGTATCAGATTAATCTATATGTCGGATAATATCCCGAACTATAATATTTATAAAAATAAATAAATTTAACAGAATAATTGATGTTAAAATGAAAATTTGATGATAAAATAAAAAAATCAAATTTCAAAAAATGATAAAAGATCAAATGAAGGGAAAAAAAAGAAGAAGAAGATAATAAATAAACAATCAAAATCCATTACACCGACAAAAGAAACCAGAGGAAAGAAGAAACAAACCCAGGTCGCCGCCTAACAATCACCACCATCACCATACCATTGATAACAGTGGTGGAAATCTCAATTCCTAACAATTAATTCATTGATAAGAATTAATTATGTTTAAGAGTCTAAAAGGGGATTGGTCACCATCACACACCTCACCGCGAACAGAGTGAAGAAAAACTCTGCCAATCCAATAAATCAAATTGAGACAGAAGATGAAGAAGAGAAAAGGCTGGTGGAAATCTCAGATCATTGCCATAACTTTATGTTCCAAATTCAAAGAAGTGGAGGAGGAGACGAAGGAGAAGGGTGGCAATGGAATCTCTGGGATGGCCAATCCAGCCTTTATATTTTCCATTGCTGCACTTGTTAGTCCTTCGATTAGATCCAGTCCATGGGGAGGACTTCAAGGACGATGCGCAATGAGCGAGAGATTGTTGGACAAAAAAGAAGAACCCGACTAATAATACCGAGGTTGGGGAGAGGATAGAAAAGCGGGCGTGTGCCGTATAAAACTGGTGGGTCCGGATTAATTATCCGGTGACTATTTAGTACATAAACGCACCAAACAACTAGCTCCGTATAATTAATCCTATCCGGTACTTTATACGGTGTGCCAAACGAGACCTTAGTCTCATTAATGATAAATCCCAGCATAGGACAAACACGGTATTAGACTAATAGCTACTCCAATCCTCCCTAGATGGCAAACAAACGCCCCCTAATTGTCGAACTCGCACTCGCAGCAACCCAGCAACCCAGCCTCAACATATCAATATCTCGTCATCTCGTCATCTCGTCATCCCGTCATCGTCATCCATCCCTCTCCCTCGCTCGCACTTTCTTTCTCTCTCTATTTTTAAGCGTTTTAGGAAAGAGAGAGACATCAATTTTCAGTTTCAGTGGATGAGATGAGAAACTGAGGATTGGATTGGATTGGAGTTGGAGGTAAATTTCACTTTATAAATTCAATTCAATTCACTTGTACCCCTCTCTCCGTGTCTCAATTGAGGGTAGGTTCCTTTGTTTCTTTTTTTTTTGTTGGATTTGTTTCCTATATCTTCTACTCTGTAGTCAGTGAATCTCATCCATTCATCATCTTCTAGTTGTATGAGGGCAATTTTCGACGACTAACTCAAGAAAGAAATTAGATAAATGAGCCATGTCGATACCAAAGGAGCCGGAGCAGGTGATGAAACTAAGAGGAGGATCAGTGCTGGGCAAGAAGACCATTCTCAAGAGCGACCACTTCCCTGGCTGCCAGAACAAACGCTTGTCTCCCCACATCGATGGTGCTCCCAATTACCGCCAGGTCTTTCTTTTCCTCTTGCTCCTCTTAAAATTAACCACCAATTTTGGGTTCATTCCTTGTTTTGATGCAATTTAGGAAGCACTTGTTTGTTAGACTGCCCACTGAATCTAGTGGTTGATTTTAATGCTTCAATTCTACAATCTTACATCGCATATATAGACAAACACATACTTACCACGTACAGCTTCACTTGCGTTGTCACCAAAATGTATATTGTCAACAAAAAGTACGTTGTCAAGTAGTTGCCTCTTCAACCACGTACATGCATCATGTTCTCAGGTATATAAATCTGTCCGTAATCGGGTTCAACATATTTTCATTGTAGCATCCTCAATGCTTCGTGTTAATGCAACTTGAGTTTTACATGGAAACTTCTCTAAATCACTCTCAACTGTTTCACGTCATTTCCCTTCTCATCACCTTCCGTTGTTTGATTTGTTTTCCTTTCATATTTATCCTCTTGGTTTATAGGCTGATTCGCAACATGTTCATGGTGTTGCCATCCAACAATCGGTGGAATCCAGAATGTTCTTAACCATATTGGAGCTCAACAAATTGATGGGAAGCGAGCACAAGTTCTTTGGATTAACCTTCGCGAGGAGCCGGTAAATTAAATGTTTCCATGCTATTTCTACCTGTCACTGTTTGATTTCTTTCTTTCCTATATTGGAAGTTTGCACAATACAATTGGTGCAATCGACTAGCATCATATTTAAGTTATAAAATGTGCATCATCTTTTTTACTGTTAAAAACCAAAATACTAAATTATTGTAGTAAATCTTGTTTTCAGAATATAATAATGATCAAGTATCAACATTTTAATCTCAAGTATGCTGTTGCCCGATTTGGAACTAAATGCAGTTTTGCGAAGTCAGTATTGAAAATTATTTTATAAACAAGAAACCTAAACTATAAATTTATAGCTATTGACAATCAAATGCTAATGAGCTCAACTGTTTATGATGATATTGTTCCTATACATTAAGTAATAGCTCTTGGATTACATCCCCTCACTGATCCCGTAGTAATTATAGCATTCAATGTTGCCCATTATGCCAACTGGTGTGTTCTGCAAAAGTTGTCTTTTTTGTAGCCTGGGATGAATTTTCCCGACACTTTTTTTTTATTACTGAAATGAAATGTTATTCATATGACAATATAATTACACAAGTGGACAAGATGTCAGTAAAGAAAAGCAGAAAGAAATCAACGAGATGACAAACAAAGTCCCCATAAAATTGAAAGAGCTATGAAAACTCCATAAATCTAACTAATATCAGCTTTCCCAGGAAGCCAAATAGAGGAAAAGATTCTTTAAATTCTGTAGAAACCAAATACCATAATAAAGACCATAAATGAACTTTATCCCACAACATCTGTCTTCTGTTACAAAATGTTATGGTAGACTGTGTATTGCTGCCTAATTATTCTTATATAGTGGGGCAACCTTTTAAAGAATCTGAATCTGACTTGTAAAGGATGGCAGAAAACTGTAAGGTTAATGGTGCGTCCTGGATCTGACTTAAATTATTTAGGTGGTTTAGGGATGGTTTGGTATGGAAAAAAATTTAGGGTTTTCAAAGCAGGAATTTCTCGGTTCTTTTTTTTTTGTTTGGGCTGAAAAAATGGTGTTCACTATAGACTCAAGTATGTATATGGGCCTAAAGGGTTTATCATTTAGACGGACATGGACCTAAGTTGGGATGAGTGCGAACACTCAGTTAACTCTGCTCCTAACAGTGTAATGCATAGTTAAATCAATGACCAATCAGTTCTTCCAAAGAATGAGAATGTTGGCTGTACAGATCATATCAGTCTTCAGATTTACGGATATATCTACGGATATCTTGAGATGCCTCTAAATATCTGCCCTAATTTATGGTTTAGTAGATGGGTAGCTTAATTAGTGCTTTTGATTTTGATTTGATTTGGTTAGGGATTTAGTGCACTTATTAGTGTTGTGTGGAGGGATTTAAAACGCTTATACCATATCAGTCTTTCTTTTTCTTCCTTTTTCTTTCTATTTTGGTTCAAGATCAGTGCAAATCTAGCATTTTTGCTCTGTTGGAGGCTGATAGTGGGGATATCTCGCGAATATAGGTAAACATGTGGCAGTATCTGGTAGACAATAGAAGAAATTGCTTCACCCCTGCTATTAGTTTCAGTGTCTAGAGAAAAAGATTCATCAAGGGAAAATATCATCCTAGCGGCAATCCTTGGTTCTAAGTTCTTACATCGATTGTTCGACACTAGGCAGAACATCTTTCATCTTTTAATAGTACATGGCATAAGCAAAAAGAAGAAATACACACCATCTTGATCAAAAACCTAAAATCATAATTGTTATGCTGCCTAACGTAGGCAATACCACGAATCTGTGAACTCAATTGACACAGCGTAGAAAAGAAAAACATTAACGCTGCATAGGCTTTTGGACCTTGTGATTCCAAACTACCTTAGAACAAAAAACCCAACAAAATCCCTGGAAAATGCCAAGAAAAATAAATAAATAAATTAAGCCCACTCCTAACAAAAATAGATTATGCATAACATTAAAGTTCCAAACATATGGAGTATGGACTGAGCAAAAGCCTTTCGAATTTGACCAAAATCATCCAAACATTTATCTGTTTCCCATCATAAAATAAATAAGCTAAAGATACAGATCCAAATCGAAGAAATAGTAAGAAATTATACAAAGTTTTCCGACTAGAAAGAAATATATAGAGGATGGAAGATTCCCACCAAAAACAAGAGAGAATTGGAACAAATAAAACCATCCTATTTACCCCAGCAAAGAGGGACAAACAGAGTAAGAGAAAGCTAGGGCTTGAAAGGAATGAATTGTGGAGAGATGTTTCAGACTGAATGAGTTGAAGTCTTGTACCATAAGCTGGGTCTGTTGGTTGTATCAATTGGGAAAGTTTCCTTAAGCCCCAATTTTTTCAGTGCCGTGTAAACCCACCTCTCCTCACTGGTGAACCAGTTAATCTTTTTGTGTATGTGAGTGTATGTTTTTCTTCTGTTTTTTAAGGGATTAGATTAGCCATCTAGTCCAAGATGTTTCCAAACATAGGACTAATCTAAAATAGTCTAGTCCAACTCCTTAAGCGGTATATGAAGGTACTCTTAGACTTGCAAAATCTCTTATTCTAATTTTTCATAATTTTACTTGACACAATTTTTATCCTTGAGTATGCATTTTCTTATGTTACTCCATATCTTCAAACAGGTGGTCTATATTATGGGCGCCCTTTTGTTTTGCATGATGTGGAGAGGCTCTTTTCCAACCTTGAATATACGGTATGCTTTTTGTTAATTTTACCATCAAATTTGGCATATCCTATGATTATACTTGCCTTCATTACTTAAGAAGTACAGAACGAATAACTTCATTGTCTACAATATAGTCTGTCTTACATTAATTTGAATTTCGGGTGCGCTTCTTATGATTTTAGTACTTGCCTTGATGAGGAGAATATGATGGGTTTTTTTGTTCTTTTGTTTATACCTTGGTCCTTTTGTTTTGTTTTGTTTTGTTATGTTTTGTTTTGAGGTTGGGAATTAGGGAATATAGAGGCTTGCTAGTTATAATACATGCATAATGCTATTTGCATTGCAATTCACAGACATGTCAACTTGTTAATTAGCCACATTTTATGTTTCCTTCTAAATTGATTGTGGCTTTACAAAAACCATCAGGGAATTAACAGGGCTAGGGTTGAACAAATGGAAGCCTGGTTAAAGGAAGATATTTTAATTGAATCTGCAAGGTATGTAACATTTTCTCACGCCTGCTTTCTATGATATTGGACGTTATTTTCCCATCTGAAATAGCAGATATGGAAATAAGATCCTTCTCACTGATGAACTGCCAGATGGTCAGATGGTGGATCAATGGGAACCAGTGTCACGTCATTCTGTGAAGACACCACTAGAGGTATCTCATTGGAACAACTGTCATAGATGGGAATGAGAGAACAAGTGTAACCGACCAGTATTCGTAATATTAAACAATTTATTTATTTTATTATTCTGTAGGTTTACGAGGAATTGCAAGAACCAGGATACCTTGTTGACTATGAACGTGTTCCTATAACTGATGAAAAGTCACCTAAGGAGCTGGATTTTGATATTTAGGTTAGTTCATTTTCTCGTCGAACAGTATATATAGCACAATTCATATCAGGCCAGGTAAAACCTGGGACCAGACCTCAATCAATTGGGTCCAAGAAGATGGGAACCAAGACCAACCCAACCTAAATTGGTTGGAGTGGGTTAGTTCTTGGCATGCCCATGAATTGAGCTGCACTCCTAGAGTTGGTCTTTTTGTGGTCTTGTGGTCATGGAATATTATCACCTTCCTGAATTACATTTTCCGATGCGTGTGCTTTATTTACTCATTTATTCTTTGTATTCAGGTACATAAAATTTCTCAAGCTGACATGAATGCAGAAATAATTTTTAACTGTCAAATGGGACGTGGGCGAACCACAACAGGAATGGTGATTGCAAATTTGATATACCTCAACCGTATTGGAGCTTCCAGTAATCCTCTTACTCTATTCACTTAAATACTTCTTCTATTACATTGACTCATTTTGGTCATCCGAAGCAGTTTTGTAGTTCTAGAATTTGTTAACTTGGTTTATCTCTGTTGCGAAGGAACTTATTTGTGCTATTCTAATGAAACTATGATTTTCTCATATGCTCCTTTTTCTCTCCACCCCTTCCCTTTCAAGTTTAAACAGTATACTATTTTATTTCTGATATGAGAAGATAATAATCACAAAGACAACACAATTGTAATCATCCAACTCAAACCAGCCTCCCTGAACAACCTCAACCACAAGAACAACACATTTGGACAGAAAATAAGCAAGTGGTCTAAACTTTAAACCTCACTCATACACAAAACACATCAATGTGGAGATCGGCAAGAAAATGATACAAATATCAAAAGACAAATCCAAAATACACCTTTTACACTGTAATACAACTCTAAAAGCTATCCCACAGCAGCTCTCCAGTCTAATAAAATTACAAAAATGAAAGATTCTAAAGGGTTGAGAAAGAGAAGCCCCCAGGGAAACCTAACTTCTTCCCAAGAGCTCTCCTGTACGTTACCTTTTGGATCCTTGTTATAATTCTGACTCTCCTCTTCTGGATCTTTCTTTTTGATCTATCCGGCAATGGACTAAGCAAAATAGAGAATAACTAGAAACAAACCAGGTTTATACTGTTTGGGCAAAACTTTTGCCTACGTCCATTAGTGATTTCTCTAGGTACAGAAACCATGCCTTCTTTAATTAATAATACAGTATACAATACTTTTTTCAAACCCTAGAACTAATGCCTCCTCCTCTCCTTGCTCTCTGTTTTCTCACTTGCTTTTCAGCCTTGCAGCACCCTATTTATAAGTATAGGTGTGGTTTACATGCCTATTTTCTTATTTGGTTTCCTATTCTATATAGGATAGGAAAGTACACTTTCATTCCTATTCCAATTATGCTTCTAGGATTCCCAATCTAATTGTACTAGAAAACTTAATTCTTTCCTAATCCTTGTAGGACAAGAATCAGTGTACCTTAGCTTTCCTAATACAATCCTAAACAAAATAGGACACTAACAATTGACGAGCCAATTCCTAACAAACTAACAATTGACGAGCCAATTCCTAACAATCTCCACGTTGGTTAGTCAAACCAAGTCTTGACAGTTGCACCTCAGTATGTTGTGAATATCGCGTTTAAGAATGGGAAAAACAAAACAAACATTGGAAATCGAAAACAAAATAACCAAGATAAGCAACGGTAAGAATTAACGTGGTTCAGCTTTATGTGCCTGCATCCACGAGACAACAACAACAATCTTTCACTATATCAATAATGAGTACAAAGGATAATCTTGCCAAGCCTCTAGGATTAAAGATTTGATGGGAAACCTGAAACAAGAACAAGAAATGTTGAGAATATCGCGTTTAAGAATGGGAAAAATAGAACAAACTTGGGAAATCGAAAACAAAAGTAACCAAGATAAATAACACCAAGAATCAACGTGGTTCGGCGATATGTGCCTACGTCCATGGGACAGCAACAACAATCTTTCACTATATCAATAATGAGTACAATCAATAATCTTACCAAGTCTCTAGAATTAAGACTTGACTAAAAACCTGAAAGAACGAGAACAAGAAATACACTCTCTCTTTTCTTTTCTCTCGCACACACTTTACAATATTCTCTCACTCTAATCCCTTGAGTGGTATACAATTTATTGTTTTGCTCCCCATCCAATTCTCTACTCTTTTGCAAGATATATCCAAGATAATGAAGGCGCTCACTCTTTGGTACTTTCTACCAAGGTCTCCAATCCTCACCCCTATCTCATTTGGACCCCATTTCCCACTAAACTTGCACTCCATATACTCTACCTTTGACCTACTTAGCGAAGACCTTTAGATTCCAACACTTTCCGCCAAGGGTTAAGCTTTGCGTTTATTCTCTCCTGCGTTTCATCTATCAACACTATATCATCTGCGAAAAGCATACACCAAGGGTTATCATCTTGGATATGTCCCGTTACTAAACAGGAAAAAGAAAATTGCACAAAACTAAGCCTCCCACCTCCAGATAACAAGCGTTTCTTCCCTTGATCTTTCATCAACTCATACTTATTTTTGAAATATAAAGAATTATTACCAACACTGTCGCTTAGTGTCCAGCTTTCATTGCACCAGTCAGCCAGTCCATAATTTTATTTATTTTTATCATATCAAGACAGATGTCTGTACAGTTATGGATGAGAGTTTGTACTGCAAATGGGAAAGAGTAAATGGCTCTCTTCTCAGAACTTTGAACTTTAACAAGAGTAAAAAGAATACGGACCTCAACCTAGGCACATTTGGGGTTTCAAGCAGACAAGTGTCCTAGCATGAACATGGCATCTAAGACCCATACAAGAGTACAAATCCATGTTGAAAAACCCCGCACACTAGACCTTATTCTTTAATGTAACCAACGACAATAGACTAAACTAGCAAATATTAGAAAACTTAGAAACACACAAGAATTATACTGGTTCGGCAGAACTTTTGCCTACGTCCAGTTGTGATTTCTCTAGGTAGAAAAATCACCGCTCCTTTGATTAATAATAGAGATTACAGAACTTTTGCAAACCCTAGAACTAATCTTAAAACTCTTGGCTGTCTGGCTGTTTTCTTTCTCTCTTAAAAAATCAGCCTTGCCCCACCCTATTTATAGACATAGGGTTGGCTAACATGTCCCAAGGCTGATTGAATTCCTATTTCTAAGTGAACTAGGAAATTACACCTATCCAAATCCAAATAGACTTCTAGAAATCCAAACCTAAATTGAATAAGGAAACTGAAATTCTTTCCTAATCCCTCTAGGACAAGAATCGGTATACCTCTAGGTTTCCTAAAACAATCCTAAACCAACTAGGACATATTTGACGAGCCAAAATCCTAACAATCCAAGACGTAATTACAACTGTCATCATTGGTACAACTGGCGTTGTTTTGTTCCTTTTTGAGGCATGTAAATTCTGAGGCTATTCAGACCCCGGTAGAGGTTTTTAAAGGTTTGGAGGAAGATGGTTTTCCCATCAAGTATGTGTGTGTACCCATCACTGATGGTAAAGCTCCCAAAAGTTCTGATTTTGACACATTGGCTATTAATACTGCTTCTGCTTCCAAGGACACTACTTTTGTTTTCAATTGCCAGGTTGACATTTAATTCTTTCCCTTTTCCTTCTTTTCTGTATGCATGAAAGGAGACAATAAATTTTTTTTATAACCAATCTGTAGTATTTTTCTTTTGCCTTCTATTATTTTCTTTCTCCTGATCTTTTTTTTCTTCTCTTCCTTTAATATTCACAGATGGGTAGAGGAAGGACAACTACAGGTACGGTAATTGCTTGCCTTTTGAAACTCCAAATTGACTACGGGAGACCTATCAAAATCCTGGTTGACAATATTACCCTTGAAGAAGTGGATGGTGGTACCTCAAGTGGCGAAGAAACTGGAGGTAGTAGTTCTGCATCAACCTCCAGTGTTACAAATTTTAGAAATGAAAAGGAGCAAAGCCGTGTATTCGGCATGAATGACATCCTCTTGTTGTGGAAAATAACAAGATTATTTGATAATGGGGTGGAATGCCGGGAAGCCTTAGATGCTATAATTGACAGATGTTCTGCTCTACAGAACATACGTCAAGCTGTTCTGCAGTACAGAAAGGTATTCAGTCAACATGTTGAGCCAAGGGTAAGGAGGGTGGCATTAAATCGTGGTGCTGAGTACTTGGAGCGCTACTTCCGTTTAATTGCTTTTGCAGCATACTTGGGAAGTGAAGCATTTGATGAATTTTGTGGGCAAGGAGAATCTAGGATGACGTTTAAGAATTGGTTGCATCAGCGACCACAGGTTCAAGAAATGGAACATAAGAATAAGACCTGGACGCTTTTTAACTGTCCCTGTAAATTCCTTCTACTTTTGGCTTAGAGACTTTTTTTTTTTCGTTTGGTTGGCAAGCTTACTCTAAGAGCTTAGTTGATAATTCTTTATTTTGGGATGGATATAATTTTTTCCTTTGTTTTTTTCTGGAATTCAGGAGGAGTTGAGAGCACCACTTGAGTCCCAGCATGGGGATGCTGTCTTGGAGGCCATTGTCAAGGCCCGTAGTGGTTCGGTTTTGGGGAAAGGTTCTATACTTAAAATGTATTTCTTTCCAGGTCAAAGGACGTCTAGTCACATACAAATACATGGTGCACCACATGTTTTTAAGGTATGCTTATATTTCTTCCTGCGCAATAGATAAGTAGGGATCTTAAGTTTTCTATTCAATTGGATAAGGGTACAGATGGAGTGTATATAATGTGTGTAACAGCATTACTCCATGTGGTTGATTTTATACAAACTTATATGTTTAAATTTACATATTTGAGGTGAAGCGAGTCAGGAGGTCGTCCTCTGGTTTTAGGTGTTCGTCATGCTCAATGATGTATTTAATATAAGTTAACAGGGTTGGAAAATGGTTTATCCTATAGCCTGACATATGGTAAGTTAGAAAAACTTGCAGTGGGGTCGGAATTTGGAAGAATAGTGGTAAAATTAGAGCACCCAACCCTCACCTATTGGATCTGAGAGTTACATTTTCAACCGCACGTGTTGGGACTGAGACAAATACGTGGATGCATTATGTTTGGATGATGTGGAATATTTGTACCCGTGGTTCTTGACACGTGAATTTTTTCCCTGGTTACGTAACCAACCCAAAATCACGTGGCGTTGGTGTAGAGGCCCAAGATATTTAATATGGATAGGAAAATTAATGAAAAGGATTTGAAAACTTTGAGTTTTAATGATAAGGACAAAATAAAGGGTAAAGTGAATAGTACCATGATTGACTTTTAAAAATATGGTTTTTTGTTAAGGTAAACAGTACCGGAAGCTTTTCGTTAAAGTTCCCTAATATGGATTGGGGTGCAAGGTTGACATACTGCATGTGGAACACTAATCTCACCAAATAGAACATTGATGGGTCAATAGGAGCAGGTAGGGGAAACGAGGTGCTGGGGTTCTGCGCCAGCAACAATACTTTCACATTTCAGGGAAATTTTCAAGCATCTTTGGGGGATAAAAATTGTGGAAAGTAGTGTGAGATTTGGTAGGAAGAAAAAACAACACATCCGTATATAGGAAATGAAATAGATTATAAGCCGACTAAATAAAGAAAAGAAAAAAAATCAACGCCTGGGATATTGGCAGTGGTGTTATATGATGTGAGCTATGTCGCACAGATACTTTAAGCAAATTGGCTAGCAATTCATCCATATACGGCCCTAACTTTCTGATATCACACAGATACAACAGAGGTACTGCAATTTTCCTTCAAATGGAGGTCGTGGTTTTTAAAGCAAGAATAAGGGGCTACTTTGTAATGTTCAAAATTATTTCTAAGCCAGCCACATAAGAGCCATCTTTTCTCTGCTTCTTTTTGTTTAAACTCATGAGATAGAGGTTAGGGTTTATTTAATGTTTATGATTACCACCATTTAAGAGGAAAAGAGTAAAAGAAAGAGCAGGACAAAGAAAAGAACTCACCTTTCCATATAAAGAAGCCTTCTTTTCTCTGCTCCTTTCGGGTTCAACAAGATATAGGGGACAAGTTTTTTGAAGTATATATAATATAAGATTATTTTAAGGCAATATTCATATTATAATCTTTATTGAATTATTATCAATGGGACAAAATTCTGCAAGCATTCACTGATTACTATACTTGTGTTTTTCTCTGGGTTAAAAAGTTTGGATATATATCTAGTCTAGTTTATATTAACATAACTAGTACTTCCCTATATAAGAGATAAAATGCATCAAAAGTAATCCTTAGCTACCAAATAGACAACACAGCATCCATCTTGGAGTCATTAAGTTAATTGTCGTTTTAGGTCATACTCGAGGGATTCTAGACATTTCAAGGCATTTGGCTTTTTCCTTAAGTGGTAATAATGGAAACTACAATTAAATGGGAAACAGTTTCAACCATATGCATCAACTACATCGAAAGCTACAACCTTCAAACAGATGCCAACTAATGATTGTTAAGCATAGATTTGTTTACTTACACTTGCCTGCATCTTTTAAAAAAAAATTCCTCACAAGAGTCAGAATAGTTTTCTCAAGATAATTCTCTGGAGTGATTTTGTAGAAAGCGGTTTTACTCAATAATGTTTTTTGTCGGTAGTTCTTTAATTCTAACATGCAGAAAGATTTTTCTAGGAGCCCAATTGCTTGTAAGTCGTAACTTACTAATTTGGAAGCATTTCCTTAGGTGCTGCCAAAAGCACTCCCAAGCAAGCCATAGATAGTGCACAATGGTTTTGCGTAAAGGCTACACTTGATATGTTGAAGTGCTAACTCCGGCACTCAGAGTTACTGATTGCATGAACCAGTATATTTTTCTTTATCATATTGGATCCCATATATTTACATTATATTTTTCTTTATCATATTGGATCCCATATATTTACATTGGCGTATATAAATATTTTTTATATAAGCTTTACTGGATTGTAATCATTTTTTAGCCTAATTTTATTTTTGTTTCAATCAGGTGGATGGATATCCTGTGTATAGCATGGCTACACCGACAATTCTTGGTGCCAAAGAGATGTTAGCATATTTAGGTGCCAAACCCAAAGCAGAAGGACTCAAAAAGTGATTTTAACTGATCTGAGAGAAGAAGCAGTTGTCTACATTAATGGCACACCATTTGTTCTACGGGATTTAAACAAACCTGTTGATACACTCAAGCATGTGGGAATCGCAGGCCCAGTGGTGTGCACAAATATTTTTGTTTTTTCCTTTCATATTTCAAGTACAATTCCTAAGCTAACTATAAACTCCAATTTCAAATTCAACGGAACATTTTGCAGGTGGAACACATGGAAGCACGACTAAAAGAAGATATACTATCTGAGGTCAGGCGGTCTGGTGGCCATATGCTTTTACACCGTGAAGAATATAGCCCGGCTTTGAACCAGTCCAGTGTCAATACTTAGAAAGCATCTTTGCAGATGATGTGAAGACACCAGCTGAAGTATATGCCGCTATGAAAGATGAGGGTTATAATTTTGCATACAGGAGAATACCATTAACTAGAGAAAGAGAGGCTTTATCTTCTGATGTGGATGCAATTCAATACTGCATAGATGAGTAAGTATCCGCACTTTGTATGATTCCCATCAGTAACTGGCGATACCACTAAAGATATATTTTGTTAAAACTAACAAAAATTATACCAAACAATGAAAATTGTGAAATAAAATTTATAGATGTAAATTAGCAAGTACTCTTGACACCATTATTTCTTTTGGGAATTATATCTTTGCCATCCATTACAATAACAAAGTTGTGTACTGAAGGGCTTTGTCCTCATCATGATACCACAAACATGTTACAGGAGTTTATTTATATTTTTCTAAGTGAAAAACACTCAGAGGTCTTATAGTAATACACCACTTCTGGCATCTGGATATACTTCCAATTTTTGTTCTCCTTTTGTTTTTTACTATTGAGGTTCTTTGGTATAAATCATTATTGCAGTTCATGAGTTTTGTAAGAAGCTGAATTTGCTTCATCCCTTGCTTTGCTGTTCAATTTGTGAATTTATTTATGAATTTAATAATTCTAAAATTCAGTAAAATTAACTTTTACCTATAGTTCTGCAGGGTGTTACCTTTTCGTATCACACACAGGGTTTGGAGCAGTTGCATATGCAATGGCTATTATTTGTATCAGAACTGGTGCAGAAACAAACTCCCTACCAAAGGATCCACAACCATTGGTTAGAATGAACCTGTTGTGTACACCTAAAGAGGATTTGCCTTCTCGAGCTTCTGATGAAGAAGCTCTGGGGATGGGTGACTACCGAGACATACTAAGCCTAACAAGAGTTCTTGTATATGGTCCTAAGAGCAAAGCAGACATTGACATTGTTATTGAAAGGTATTTATATATTAAAAAGTCCGCGGTGAAATTCTCTCCTTATGGTAGTGTAGAAAATTGGAGGGTTGGCTGTGTCATATAAGCAGATAACCCATGTCTCTGTCAACTTAAAAAAGAAAAATTGTGCTTCTATGCTTTACAGATTGTGTTTCATTTGTTTAATCATGCACTTTCTCGATTTTAGTTTATTTTATATTTGCGCGGAGTTAATGACCCTTAACAGGTGCTAGTAATTGGCTCTTATTGTTGATGTTTCTGACTTTGTTTCTTCAATTAAAAGGTGTGCAGGTGCGTGGCATCTGCGAGATGAGATTCTTTATTATAGTAGGGAACTCAAGAAGTTCCCTGATGCTGAGGATGAGCAACGAGCATATCTCATGGACATGGGGATCAAAGCGTTAAGGTAGGTTGAAGTAGCATTGTCCTGCTTTTCTTTTAATTTATTATGAATGAATGTTTGCATCATGTCTTCGTAGAGTTGGGCAGCGAAATTTAGATTGTTTAGCAGAAGTGAAAACAAAGAAGGCGTAGATTAAAACAACAATAAAGGATAACTGGAATCACTCCAGGGGCCTCCCACCCGTTTTCGCCTCTCACCAAAACAATCCCACCGCAGGATAAGAATTCCAATCTCTGGAAAACAAAGCTTTTCTATTCATAAACTCTTAATTGTTTGTTAATCTGAATTACAAGGGATCTTTATAAAGCCTTAAACCTAATGGACACGTGAAAGTAAACGTATTTTAGGAAAGAAATCCTAATCAAAATAGAATAGAAACTAAATCTAATCCTAGTCAAACTGAAAAGAATCTTAATAAAGTAGGAAGTCCAAAGACTAAAACCCTGGATATTAAAATACTAAAAACCCTAAAGAGTAAAAGATTAAAACACCCATTGATTTAAGCCTGCACTTTGGTTCCGCATTTTTCTCCCCCGCTTGAAAAATCGACTCGGTCGACTTTGGTGAGGAGCTTGAACCCTAGCCGTTATCAAACGGATAATTCTTGACGTCAGGGAGATGAAGATTGTATAGGACTCTAGTTTCTGTTTTGCCAACTAGGTGTGACAGTAGCAAAAAATAATTCATGAGAAATTGTTGTTTATTTACGGAGAATATTGCAAACTGCAAATTGGTATTTAGCATGACCAAATTAACTTTCTTTTCAATGGAAGAAACTGAAAGACAAGCAGTAGCACATCTTTAACTTCAACATCCTCAAAAGTTTGTTGCACGACAAGAGGAACATAGGGAACAATATCGCTGGAATCCTGAGGACAAGGAACGTCACTCGCTGGAAGAATTAAATCTTGCGTATCCAATAGACTAGATGTCTTCTCCGTTGTAGACTGTTCAAATGGAATTAAAGGTTGCACTTCCATATTGTTGGTTGAATCAGTACCTTCTTGAAGACTAAAAACAACCATTGATTTCAATGTTTTAAAAGACGAAGGTGTAGGTGAGGCGTTTCATGAAAAGACTAGATGTCTTCTCCATTGTAGACTGTTCAAATGGAATTAATGGTTGTACTTCCATATTGTTGGTTGAATCAGTACCTTCTTGAAGACTAAAAACAACCATTGATTTCAATGTTTTAAAAGGCGAAGGCGTAGGTGAGGCGTTTCATGAATGGCCCCGCGTGGCAATACCCTTGAGGCGTGAGGCGAAGCCTTACAAGACCTAAATAATTGGGGACTCATGTGGGTATAATTGGGGACTACTGTGGTTTATTAAAAAATAACTGGGCACTGCTGAGGGTTATAACAAAATATAGACTTGGGCAAAACGATGTCGTTTGGGCCAAGTCATATAAAAAACATTTAAAGACTTGACCAAAATGACAATGTTTTGGACCAAGTCTTTAAAATAATAAATTCTTCGTCGTCTTCGTGAAGACACCGCCACACTACAAGAGTCATAAACCAGAGGACATAGCCTTTTGACTTCGATGATCTCCGATGGATTTGGGAACGCTAGGTCAACCGCCTTAAGGTGTGCCTCTACCACGTCTAGGTGAGTTTTCGCCTACTCCCACTAGGCAGAAGTGTTATTATTCCCGCCCTGCCTCCGAAGCTGCTTAGGCGTGTCTTGGGCGTGTGTTTTAAAACACTGATTGATTTAGGAAAGCCTGCACTTTGGTTCTGCCTTACTTCCACCTTTAGATAAGAAGGTTTAGCCTATGTCAAAACTTTTGAATTGCGTTTCATTCACCTTTCAAAATAATATATTTAGTGCCAGGTGATATGTGAAAACCAATTTCAACACTAGGAGGTTTGCATATCAGTAGAGGACAAAAACTCCGACGATGTCAAGCCTATGTAGGTGTTGTGTTGCTTTCTCGCAATTAAGAAGTTATCTTATTCACTTTGGTTTAGGTTTTTTTTTTTTTTTTTTTTTTTTTTTGAAAGAAGAAGCAAATTTTTATTGCAAAGAAATAATAAAAATACAAAAGCGGACAAGAAGTCCGCAAAGGCACAAACAAAACAAGATAAAAATCACCATCACCCAGACATTTAGAAACTATAAAAACAATACAAGACTAACTAATAGCCACATTCCAGTTCCGCCAAATTTCTGAAAAAGACAAATCTCTAAATTCTGTAGTAACCGCAGCCCACAGAGATGACCATAACCGAACATTATCCCACATATCCTCCCTTCTAGTGCCTACGTTGTCCTAAAAAATCTGCTTGTTTCTTTCCATCCAAATGACCCCAAAAATAGCTGAAACTACACATCCCCATAAGACCTTTATTTTCCACCCCTTTCCTGATAATTTATGTTCCTCTACCATAAGAGAATAACAATGCCTGGGTAAAACCCAACTGATACTGAACTACTTAAACAACTTCAACCAGAGATTTAAAGCCACCAGACAGTGAAGAAACAGATGGTCAAGAGACTCTGAACTTTTCTTGCATAAAATGCACCAATCAGGCTGTAGACATGAGCTAGGTTGCCCTTTTTGGAGCATGTCACAAATGTTAATTTTCCCATGAGCCACTAACCAAGTAAAGACCTTCACTTTGTTAGGAACTTTAGATTTCCAAACCAGGCCATAAGCCTGAAATACCCTATCAGCATAGCTTTTGAGAAGATAATCACAGTAAAATTTAATAGAGAAGCTTCCTGAAGAGTAAAGTATCCAATTTCTTGCATCAACCCTTGAGGGGTGAATGCGAACCCGGTCCAAATTTGTCAGGAAAGATGACAATTCATTTAATTCCACATCACACAAATTCCTTCGAATCCCAAAGTCGTAATTCAAAGAATGTTTAGCAAAACTAGCCACACTAGAAATACTCTTGTTATGAAATCTGGATAAGTTGAACAACCTAGGAAATGAGACTTGTAAGGATCTTTCGCCCAGCCAGATGTCTTCCTAAAATCTAATTCGTGTTAAGAATGAGTCACACATTGATGTGTGAGAAAGGACCTTGCATGGCCTTATAAGAAGTTGGGCTACTCCCCATATTGCCAATTGATTTTCTGGTGAAACCTTAACTTTCTTCATGGTATCAGAGCAGGTTGTCCTACGTGTGAAGCCAAAAGGTCACATGTGCTCCACGTCATCCCGTTGTGTTGTCCACGTATTAGGCTTGAAAATTCACCACATGTGATGGGGCATGTTAAGAATGAGTCCCACATTGATGTGGAAGAAGGGACCTTGCATGGGCTTATAAAAAGTTTGGCTACTCCCCATAATACCAATTGGTTTTATGGTAGAACCTCAACTTTCTTCAATTCGATCTGCTTTACCAAAAACAAAACGGCAACACTCCAGAAAAGAACTATACCCTTGGGTAATATCCTTCCAAGGACTTCTACTTGTCCAAACCGAACTATCTTGGAATCCCAACCATTGTCACTTTATGCCAGATGGAATTACTTTCAACTGGAAAACGCCATAACCATTTAGCTGACAAAGCTTTGTTTCTTACCAATAGATTGCCAATACCTAAACCTCCTTCCTCTTTCTGTTTTGAAACGGTTTCCCAACTAATGAGGTGATCTTTCTTATCTTCACCAACACTAGCCCATAAGAATTTCCGCATTAAGCTTTTCAGATTGCTGACTACTTATTTAGGAATCTTGAACAAAGACAGAAAATAAATTGGTAAACTTCCTAACACCAATTGAATTAAAGTTAATCTTTCCCCTCTTGAAAGAAAGGCACACTTCCAGCTCTGCAATCTTTTTTGGACTTTTTCCACAATCGTTTTGCAGAAGGAGATAGTTCTGGGATTACCTCCTAAAGCAAGACCCAAATACTTGACAGGCCAAGAGCCCACTTTGCATCCCCACAAACCAGCCAATCTCTCTAATTTGTCTTCCTCCGTTTGAGCCTAATTATTTGGTCTTAGTTACAATACAATACCCCTTAATTATTCTGTTTAGTCTTCTTTTTGGGCTTCGGTCTTGTCACAGTTCAGGGATTATTCACTTTCGACTATCTTGCTAGACTGGGAGGCAGCGGATGATGATTTCTGCTAGTTCCCCTTGTATCTGGCTTCTGGTTATTCACTGGTTGCAAATATTTTTTTAATAAAATTGTTCCTTTTCAAAATACAAAAGAAGGAAGGAAAGTTAAAACCTTTAATTATAAGCAATTGATTTTCTCTGAATCATGGATATAAATTGCTGTCGGAAAAAAAGGGAAAAACTGCGTGCATACTACTAAATGTAAATGAATTAACTCTGTGTGTGTATTTCTTGTAATGTATTGAGTCTTGACTATAGCATGTATTTCTTGTATTGTATTGGGTGAGTCGGACGTCCAATTGCTTCGATTTGAATTATTCAGAGGATGCCTTCTTGACTATAGGTCCTCCATTTTTCATCTTACTTTTGAAACCCACAAAACATGCATTTGTACTGCATTGATCGCATAATGAATTCTTTACATGGATATGTTTAACAAGCAATAACGTTTTTGTTGAGTTCTTGATTCATTTTTCTGTTATATTTAACCCTCTCCTTCCATCTGCAGGCGGTACTTTTTCCATATAACATTTAGTCCTACCTCTACCGCACTTCTGCGGCTGATATAAAATTCACATCATGGATGTACGCGAGGCCTGAACTAGGACAGGCGGTACTTTTTCCATATAACATTTAGTCCTACCTCTACCGCACTTCTGCGGCTGATATAAAATTCACATCATGGATGTACGCGAGGCCTGAACTAGGACATCTATGTAATAACCTTAGGGTCGATAAATGATATCATTAGTGTAAAATAAAGTTATGTACAGTTGGCAGTACGATAAAACGATCTGGCATTCAGTTTCCGCCTTAAGCTCTGAATGCTGGACAAATTAAGAGGTTATTACAGTTATGTACATGTAGGGACTAGGGATAACGAAAATCCCTGACCCAAGGGAGAAAGGAGTGGTTAGAACTCGGGAATGGGTTCTATGCCAGTTTTTGTAGTATATATAAAGATGAAGCTCTACACTTTTCGGGATTTGATTTTTGCAACAGGATGCTTATATTGAGGCTAATGTAAGTATCATGTATATATGTGAAATTATTATCTCATGAAATTTGAATGCCTAATGCCATTGGTACGTGGACAGTCGAATGATTTATTAGGTTATTTGTGATCAAAGAAGACTACAATTGCAACAACATTATTAGTTTTTATAACGGATGTTTTACATTTTAACGAATTCATAAGTTGAAGTATGACATTACAATGTTTAAAATATGAGGTATGAGATTGTGGTTCGATCCATAGTTGAGGTAGTTTTATATAATATACCCTAATTAGAAGCACAAGTAAAAGTTAAGGATGATTGGTTAGATTGCTCTATTGGATTGTACACAAGACATTCGAAAGGAAATTCGTAATTATTATTATTCTTTTTTTTTTCTTTGAAAAGGGAGACGACTAGTGGCGAATTAAGGTTATCCAACCCTTTGAAACCGGAAGAGACTAGTTGGGAATTGCACTTTACCCATAGTCACGATTAAGCAAATTCATAGCTTACAAAGTATCGAACTTAAGACCTCTCCTTTTTTTTCTTCACCGAGTTGTTGTTCGCACTTTTCCACTAAGCCACTTGTCATAGTTGGAAATTCATAATTCTTTATAATTAATTCATTTTCTTTGAGATTTACAAGGCCAAGTGAAACTCGGTGACAGATTATAATTACAAGAAATTGTTGCTTTCCAATAAATCTAATCCAAGGATGGATAACTATATACTTAGAAGAATAATATTATTGACGAGCAGTAGTGTTGTGGTGAGTTAGTTTGAGTGCTTCTTGTCGGATGCATGCAAGGTTTAGTTTGATCTCCTTACAAAGTCTACCCTCAACAAGGCGAACGGGCAGCCACATCTTTGGCTTTACATCAACCATGTAGGAGAGACTTGTGTGCACTTGCACTTGCTGCTGCTGCTGTAATTGCATCATTAATTTTCCTAATTAGGGCCGGCATTGACGGGCTTGAGCGCTCCTGTATATTATATATAATGTATGTATGTATATGTATATCTATAGATAGTGAGTTAAGTTAGTACCTGCGGGTGTGGGTGTTTCTGTTGGAGAGACCATTTTCCTTGAAAGATTTCGAAGTCGCCTTCAACCATGTTAAATCGGATATCACGCTTGTGACCGAAATTATTAGGAAGGGTCTCAAGTGGAGTCTCGTAACAATCTACGATCCCTTTAGCATTGAATTTCAGCCCCAACGCCAACTTCTGCTCCCCAATCTGTTACTAATTAATTCATTCAGATAACATATTTAATTTGATCTCCTTAACTGTAAAGCACCAGATTCTCATGCCCTGCTATTAGACAAATGAGAGAGAGAGAGAGAGAGAGAGAGAGAGAGAGAGACCTGCAAAAGCCGAGCATAGCCGTCCGTCTTATCGAGCACTTGGCAGACGGCGAGTCCCGGAATGAAGTCGGCCAATCTCTCGTAATCAGTCAATAGATTCCAGACGGTGTTGAGTGGGGCTTCTATCCCAATTTCCAACCGGATCCTCCGACAGTTGTTTCCCGTCTTCTCTATCTCTATTTCTATATCTATATCAAGATCAATATCTTCGCATATGGCTACGGATTCTGTAGCATCGTCATCGTCATCATCCTGGGACAAGATGGACGAATCGACCTTGTTTGAAGATGAGCACTGCACCTGCACATGAGGACTGCTACTGAATTGAGAGACGGCGGTGAAAAGGTTTGGATTTCTAAAAATAGAAAAAGAAAAATCAGTCGCTGTCGCTGCAAGGTTAGGGCTTTTTTGTGGTACCAGCAGCAATGCTTTTGGAGTGGGAGTTGCAGTTGCAGTTGCAGCAGTGGAACAAGGGATATGGAGCAGAGTTGTGTAACTACTAGGACTTGGAGCTTGCATTTTCATTCATTCACTATCAGTCACTCACACAAATGAAGCCTTATTCTTATCTCAATCATCAATATCTTCTCTATTTCTCTTCTTTTATTATTTGTCCTCTTTCTACTTGTAGATGCAAATAGGGGATGTAAGTTGGAGAGGAGTATTTATTAAATATAGCAAAAAATTAACTCTTAATTTCAAAAATGTCACTTTTTATAAAAAAAAAATCAAATATATCCAAAATTTTACTTAAATAATCATAAATACTCTCAAATTTAACAATTAAATAAATTAAAAGTTTTTTAGCTACTGTCACCTCAAGCTCCAACTTCACCTTTGCTTCTACACTCCACCAGCACAACCTATCCCCTTCGACCCCCTCATCACCGACATTGAGCGCCGTAGTGGTTACCTCAAGTGGGAGCAGCAAAATTTCAATCATGCATTCAACGCCTTTTTTCTTACAAATATCAAAAATAGTTTTTAAAGTTAATCTACATGTTGTTTTACGATTGTATTTATGAGACCCACGTTAATGTAGAACAACAAAGAGATAGAGGAGATGTGTCAAAAACACACGAGGCTTGACAAAAAAATGATAGAAGAGCAATGCTCAATTCTTCATTACCATAAAATTATAATTCCAAATTGTCTCCTTTAACATATCAAACTCCTTCCCTAATATACTAGTGTGCCAAAACATCTACATCAATGCAAATACAACTCCCTAAGCCACCGAAGCATATTAAATGACAATTGTTCCACCTAGCCACTTAATTTAAAACACAACTTACAATGCATCAAAATCACTACAAAATATTAAATCAAAGCCTAAGATACATGAATCTCAAAGTAATAATTAACGGAATAGCCAAATACCAAAATACCAAAAGCCCAGTTGAATAAACTCTTTATGCATTGCATCAGACTCTCCGGGTGAGAAAGAACTTGTCCACGAGTTCACTAATTTCAAGCCAAGCTCTTTCCAAATCGCCGAGTTTAGAAACCATTTTGCCTCACTTCTCTTTCTTTTCTTCTTCGAACTAACAAAAATATTACTCGCATGGTAGAAACAAACATTCTTACTTTCCCAAAATTGTAGTAACCTACGTAACTTTTCACGAAAGATATAATGGCTTCAAAATCATAATTAACTCTTTCCTTGCATTCAAATAGTTGTTGATGGATCCATAGATAAAGTCATACCAAATGGAAACATAAAACTGAAAGTTAGGAGCCTTTTCCTCAACCGTAGGCAAATAAGTGGTATAATTTGTAATGTTTGAAGCATCCAGCGAAATAATATTATATGAAATCAGGTCCACACTCATTGTTCCATCTCTCCCATGAACCAAGAAGACGTCATTAGAACCACTAGATGGATTGGCAAAACCTTTTGCTTCGAGATCCCCCTTTGTGCAAGACACGAAATTGTGTAGAGAAATTGATTTGCAAGCATCAAATATATCAATTGATGAATAATCCATCTTGTTGTGATGAAGAGATTCATCAATGACCTCTTTTTTTGAACATGTATCTCCATCTTCATGATATTCATCATAGATAGGTGGTAAGGTGCAATCATAAGTATAGCCCAATTCATCATTAGCAAACTCATTTTCAAAGATAAGTGATACTAATGGGGTTACCTTCAAATTTGAAACTTTAGGCATCACCATTTGTTCATTTTGATGAGTATTTAGGTTCACCTTATCAGATTCGCATTCAACAATGCAAGACCTAGCATCCTCAAGCCAACTACCAAACCTTGACATTTGGGTATACCACCATCGTTGGTTGTGCTTCTTGCGTTTTGATCCACCATGCTTCCTTCGAGCTTCTAGGTATTCAATTCGCAAGGCAAGCAACTCGATTTCTTGTCGTAACTCTTGAATTTCGTCATCTCGATCAACTCTCAAATCCCCAAGCTCTTGGTTACCACGCCTTCCTCTACCTCCCATCATTGCCATTTAGATAAATAGCGCGGAAGCAACCCAAAGAGTGTAGCGAAGCTCTAGTACCAAATAATGCAGACTGACAAATAGATAGAGGATATGTATCAAAAACACACGAGGCTTGACAGAAAAATGATAGAAGAGCAATGCTCAATTCTTCATTACCATAAAATTATAATTCCAAATTGTCTCCTTTAACATATCAAACTCCTTCCCTAATATACTAGTGTGCCAAAACATCTTCATTAATGCAAATACAACTCCCTAAGCCACCGAAGCATATTAAATGACAGTTGTTCCACTTAACCACTTAATTTAAAACACAACTTACACTGCATCAAAATTACTACAAAATATTAAATCACAACCTAAGATACATGAATCTCAAATTAATAATTAACGGAATAGCCAAATACCAAATACCAAAAGCCCCGCTGAATAAACGTCTTATGCACTGCATCACACGTGGTGCCACATCATCATACTAACAGAACAATTGATAGATTTTTCACGAAAAAACTAAATGATCATGATGGACAAATTCAAAAAAAGACTAAAATGATTCATGATAAAGAAATTCAAGAACAGTACTATTGATTATCATTAATTGTTAAGGACCAGATTAAAGAGTTATGTCAATGTCACGAATCATTTTGGCTAAAAAGTCTTTAATTTATTTGATTGTTAAATTTGAGGATATTTGTGTCTATTTAGATGAAATTTTGGATATATTTGAAAAATTTTATAAAAAAATGACATTTTTGAAAGATTTTATAAAAAATGACATTTTTGAAATTAAGGGTTAATTTTTAGCTATATTTGATAAATACACGTTGCAGAGTCGGTTCTCTTAGTTACCGGCAATGTTTGAAATATCTTGAATATGTTCGATATTTTCACAAGAATATCCAAAAATTCAGGGAACGATATAAAGAAAGGAGGTGAAGTGTACATTTCACCCCATATCCCCAATATTTTTGGAAATCAGTCAATTTCCTCGATATTTTATGCATCCTTGCAGAAATTTCAACAAAAAATGTACAGACTAGTGGTCAAGTTTTCCCTCTTCATTTCTTTTCACGTTTTCTTTTATTATTTGTGCTCTTTCTACTGGAGTAGCATGTAGGGGATGTAAGTTGGAGAGTCGGTTCTCTTAGTTATCGGGTGATCAATTTTTCATACCTACCTTTAGATTTGACTAACAATGGTGTCAGCGCAATGCTACGGGTTAAAACTGTACATACCTTGTAATTTGT